AAATATTAACAAATGGATTGATTTTAATCTTTTAGACTTATGTTTAGTATTTAGGAACCATCTTAATGAACCTGGGTGTTCATCAACACTTACTATCCTTTTTGTGTGTTAACTTGAGAGTTACTGTTCAACCAAATGGAACTAATAGAGATAACTCTTTATAGAAGCTGGAGGAGTCCTTCAAATGTCAAAATTGACAGTAAATTATGTTGGTGATGATGAGGGAAGATAGGTAATTAATGAAGCAGGTATTAAGGCAAAATCTTAGCATAATATTAATGATGTGACCATTGCAAATGAGATCATTCTTTTAAAAGAAAAAAGAAAAGGTGACAACAAAGATGACTATATTATATAGAATTTTTAAAAATATATCTTTATTGATTTCAAAGAGAAGAAGGGAGAGGGAGTGAGAGAGATAGAAACATCAATGACTAGAGAGTTGTCATTGATCAGCTGCCTCCTCACGTCCGCGACTGGAGATCAGGTCCGCAACCCGGCCATGTGCCCTGACTGAAATTGAACCACAACCTCCCGGATCCCAGGTCTATGCTCAACTGCTGAGCCATACCTGGCCGGGCTTATGTAGAATTTTTATTACAGTCTACTACATGACTTCTTTCGCAGCCTTCTCATTGATAATTGACTTCTTTACATTGCTCTTTATGTAGTACATTTCTAATTGTGTGAATTAACCAAGAAAGAGAATATTCACAATTGTATGCTATTATTTTTTGTTAGGTTTAAAATGTTGCAGAGTATTATGTGGTGCCCCACAGATTGGTGAAAGCACATTTGTAAGGAACATGGACTTAAGCATTACCTAGCAAGATGTCCCTTCCCAATGATACTCAGTTTCACCCCTCATCCTTCTTGTTGCTGGGGGTCCCAGGACTCGAAACACTCCACATTTGGATTGGCTTTCCCTTTTGTGTTGTGTACATGATTGCACTCATAGGGAACCTCACTATTCTGTTTGTGATCCAGGCTGANTCCTTCCTGTTGCTGGGGGTCCCAGGACTCGAAACACTCCACATTTGGATTGGCTTTCCCTTTTGTGTTGTGTACATGATTGCACTCATAGGGAACTTCACTATTTTGTTTGTGATCCAGGCTGAGAGCAGCCTCCACCAGCCTATGTTCTACTTCCTGGCCATGTTGGCTACCATTGACTTGGGTCTCTCCACAGCTACTATCCCTAAGATGCTTGGAATTTTCTGGTTCAATCTCAGAGAGATGATCTTTGAAGCCTGCCTCACCCAGATGTTTTTCATTCACAACTTCACATTGATGGAATCAACAGTTCTCTTGGCAATGGCTTATGATCGTTATGTGGCCATCTGCAACCCACTCCGATACAGCACCATCCTCACCAACAAGGTTGTTTCCAGGATTGGTCTTGGTGTGCTAGTGAGGGCATTTATTGTTGTGATTCCGTTTGTATTTCTCATCTTGCGACTGCCCTTCTGTGGGAATCATGTCATTCCTCATACCTACTGTGAGCACATGGGTCTTGCTCGTCTGTCTTGTGCCAGCATCAAGATCAATATCATCTATGGCTTATGTGCAATTTGTAATCTAGTGTTTGACATTATAGCCATTGCCCTTTCCTATGTTCGGATACTCAGCACTGTTTTCCGTCTTCCTTCCCGTGAAGCCCGCCTCAAGTCTCTCAGCACATGTGGTTCTCATGTTTGTGTAATCCTTGCCTTCTATACGCCAGCCCTCTTTTCCTTCATGACACATCGCTTTGGCAGAAATGTCCCTCGTTATATCCACATACTCCTGGCCAATCTTTATGTCGTAGTGCCACCAATGCTCAACCCTGTCATATATGGAGTCAGAACCAAGCAGATCTATGACCATGTGAAGAAAATATTATTTAAAAAATAAGCAAGTCACAAAGGAATAGCACCTAATATGCATGAGTTGGAACTTTTAAACAAAGAAATGCCTTGTTAAATTAAGTAAATTTAGATGTGCTTGACATAAATGTTTATTTATATAGCTCACTTCCGTAAGCATTTTAATGAGTTCAGAGAGTGCAAATTTCCGTTTTGGTATCCAGTTCATATGGCAAACTAAGGCTCATCTGTCTTTAGATGTAATTTTTTTTTTATCACTGGTGTCAGTAGATATTAAGTAGGATTTACAGAATGTGCCATGTTTTTGTGCACTAGCTACCTTATATCTTTCTTATGGATTTTTTAATGGTTCTCACTACCCCCTCTTTTTAAATCTTCAAGCCCCTCTGTATGTTTCTCTATCCTTAGTTTGCATCCCCCCCTTATCTCTCCTTTTTCTTTTGTTCTCTATTTTCAGAAATCAGTCGTTCTTATTTTGTTATAAGGACTGTATTATAATATGCTGTAATTTTATCATAATTATTGTAAACATCCAAAATTATATCATAAATTAAGTATTGATTTTGTACATGGAAAGGAAATAAAAATCTACAAAATGACTCATTATAAATTTTTGTGTAGAGTTATCACAGATATATTTATGCTATCCTGGACCAAACTATGATGTAAACATTGATAATGGAACTACTTACAGTCTAGAGAGGTTGCTTACTTTCATCTCCTTAGTTCTGTTTTTTAACTTGATTTTAGACTGATTTTGTAGTTGCTTACTTTGACCTACCTTTCCTCATAGCATTTTACCAGTTAAACAGAGCTTGAGTTAGTCCTAGTTCTGTCTTTAATATATGTTTCAATGATCTGCAGTTTCTTTATTTAATAATATAGTCATAGTTTTATTTCCAAGATAAAGCACTATGACTTCATTTAATAATGCTTCTAGAGTATTATAGGATAGTGCCATGCATGTTGTTAATAGTAGATACTAAATAATTGTTAACCATTAGTAACATCATTACTTGTATCACTATGTTTTGCTTTTTATTCTTACCTTTGACAACAATGTTTCTATTAGAGATGTTTGTAGGTTTTTCTTTTAGTATCACCCTCATATATAATACCCTGAAGCTGGAGTGATATAAAGTACAATAAGTATCAAATATAATATAAAGATTATATATAATATATGTACATTATATGTATACATGTACAAGATATAAATGCACAACTAATTTGTTGAAATTTTATAAAAACCATGTAATTGTTTTGAAATTATGATTTAAGGGAAATTGCTAAAATGCTCATTATTTTCTAAGTCTATCAATTACATTTATATATGTGTTTAGCATTACCTCTTAGACTTTAAAACAGAAAATTTTAATTTAGAAATAATTATTTACATAATTTATTCTCTTCCTCCACTTGTTTAGATGTAATTTTAAACAAGTAATATGAGGAAAGTTATCTCCACAACCTTTAGTCATCTTGGCTCATAATCTCTTAATCTTAACTGTATGTTCCTCTTTCTTGTTTTCTGTATCCTAATTTCTTGCATCAACTATGTCATAACCTTATCTCTGGTGTACCTTTGTCACAAACCATTCATTCTCAGTCTTTCAGAATTGCTGATTTTATTTCATAATTATCTCTTAGATATATTCCTTACTGTCTCTGATGCTATGGTCTTATTTAGTATTTCTAGTGGCCAGAATATGATATTTGCAATTTTGCTGTTTTCTTCATACCAAACATATCTCCCAAGTTCACTTTTTCTGTCATACTTAACAAAATTGGCTCTTTCAATGGCCCACAATGAAAAGAAATAAAATCATCTTGCTCATTCATTTTATAATTTTACCAATCCCATTATGACATTACAATGAACTATTAATCCAAATAAACTTCGCCTCATTGTACTGCCAGTTCTCATTTGTTGGTCATTTCCATAATCTTATTATTATTTTTTAAACTGGATTCTGAAGAAATGCTTAAACTCTCAATCTTAGAGCTCATGACACTCTTCTATGCTTTAAATCCAGTCATTTATGGGGTCAGGGCAAAGCAAATTCAGAACTGAGTTGTAAGAGTATTTGTAAAGAATGTGCAACCCAAATGTATTTGGAAATAGATGGATTCTTTTAGGTTAATCTTTAGCTTGCACGTCTCTCAGGGTGCCCAAAATTGAGACTATGTGAAGGCCATTCAAGCATTGCTTCAGCCTTTATTAGAATCTCTGAAACTCAGACTCAGTAATTCCTTTATATAATTTGACTTTCAATCAATTATACTGTTTTGTTTTGTTTTTATTGAAGGTGACCAAAGACTATAGGGCTATGTAAAACATGTAATGAGATTTTTGAATGTGTGGGGGACACTGATATTCTCCATGCCACCAGTAAAATTTATGTACAGGTTTGATAAAGCAAAAGATTCCTATGGCATGAAATTTGTTAAGGTGTTTGTACACAGATGTCCACTTGTTCCAGCGTTATTTGTTGAAAAGCATTTGCTTCATTGTATTGCTTTTGTCCCTTTGTCAAAAATTATCAACTGCATTACATGGGTATACTTCTGGGCTCTCTATTCTCTTCAGCTTATTTATTTGTCTATTCTTTTGCCAATACCAAAAGAATTTTCAGTAAGTCTTAAAGTCCAGCAATGTCAGTTCTCCAACTTTATTCTTTTCTTTCAATATCGTGTCTGCCCGTTTGTTTTTTTTTCACTCTACATAAACTGTGAAATCAGTTTTTCAATATTCACAAACAACTTGCTGGAATTTTGATTGGGATTTTATACTGACTCTATAAATCAATTTGGGAAGAACTGATATATTGACAATATTGTCTTCCTACCTATGAACATGTTATATTTCTCCATTTGCTTATTTCTTTGATATATTTCCTCAGAGTTTTATAGTTTTCTGGATATTGATATTGTACATACTTTTACAGATTTATAGTTAATATTTATTTTTTTAGTTGCTAATGTAAATTGTATTATGTTTTTAATTTCAAATTCCCCTTCTTCATTGTTGTTGTGTAGGAAAAAGATTGGCTTTTGTATATCAACCTTGTATCCTATAACCTTGCTAAAATTGCTCACTACTCCTGGGTAATTTTATTTATGATAAACATAGGCCTATGTTCGCACTGAGCCTTGTACACAAATATTCATAGCTGCTTTATTTACAATACCTAAAACCAGAAACCAACACAAATACATATCAACAATGACTTGATGGACAAATTCAGACACATCCACATAATGCAATACTATTCCGCATAATAAAGAAATGAACTGATAATACACAACATATATGAATGAATCTTAACATAATTATGCTTAGTGAAAGAAGTACATACCAGAAAAAAAGAGGTATATTTTCCGATTACATCCACATAAAATTGTAAAATAATTAACCTAATAGATGTGAGCAATCATTGCTAGGGAAAGCAGGATGGGTTTCAGGGAATGACAATAGGTATGCATTTCACAGGCACATGAAATTTGAGGGGACAAAAGATATGTTTATTATATTTATTATGACAATTGTTTCACAGACACATATGACAAAATACATTAAACTGTATAATTTAAATGTGTTCACTCTGTTGTATGTCAGACATTAATAAAGATGTAAATTAATAAAGTTGTAAAATATATATATTTTAAAAATCCTCAATGACTGTCATTCTGACTCATAATATAAGCTAAAGATGTCAGTGTTACCTGGCTACTCTATATGTTGGGTGCGTGAAATGACCTTGAACTTATTGTCCTATTATTCTCTCCTTTGGGCATTGTTCACAAACTATATCGCCTTCCTAATTTCTTTCACATTTCATGAACAGTAAAAACTTCAGAGCTTTTGCGTTCCTTTTTCCTAACCCTAAATTACTCTTTTATCAGAGATTGCCTTGTCAAATCCTAAACATAAATATGCCTTTGTTAGCATAGGCAGCTAGATATTAATAAAGAAGGAGAGCAAAGGGAATCAGACATTATTAAGCCTGATAAGCTAGGGACCTGAACTGGGCTACAAGCCTGCTTCGCTAGAAAGCTGCAGTATTCACAGGCTCCCCAGGGGACCGCTGCACCCTCCCCCCTAGGGACTTAATCCTGGAAGTGGGCAGGAAGGATTATTACTGATCATTAGCCAGGATTACCAAGGGAAAGAGAAAACAATAAATGGGAAATTCTCTGCTGGGAACTTGCCTCGTAGAAGCCAAGATGGTACAGGGGGAGGTGGTTCTACTGTGAGGCATCAGTACTAGGCACCAAATGGTGACCATAAAGCACTGTCTGTCTAGCCCCGGAAACTGATCAGATTAGATAAGGGACACAGAATCCCAGAAGGCCTAGGAAATGGATTGGTTAGGAGGCGGGCCCAACACTAGCCCTCAAAGGACTGGGAAGTTGGTTGGTTAGCCTGAAAGAGTGCTTGGTCCTTCCCAAGCCTGAGATAATATAATCCAAGTTTAACAGAGGCATGCTCTCTCTTTCTCTCTCTCTCTCTCTCTCTGGCCCTGTATCTCACGGGTTCGTTCTTGTGCCCATGGGCCCCGAGTTCTCTCTCTGTTAACTGCCTCGCTCGCTTAGCAGCTGTGTGGACTCCCTAGTGCAGGCTCCTGGGGTGACCCTGGGTTCTGCAATGCAGTGCCAGCTACAGCACAGCCGGGAACAAACACTGTGCTGGCCAGACAGGGCCAGAAACTGAACTGGCAAAGAATCTCTGGACACTGGCTTTGTTTTGGGGACAGATAAAGACAAGGCTGAACTTTTTCCAAAATGGGACAGATGGAAATGAGACACTGGGGATCTGGGGGCAGCCTTTTATTTCTGTTCCAGTAAATCTTACCACTACATCTCATCATCCATGCACAGATCCTCCAAAATGCTTTTCTTGTGACTCCAGGAAAGGACCCCATTTCCACTGGCCACACTGTGCACCACATACACAGCACCTTCTTCATTCTCCTTTGCGTTATTTTTAACCATAACACTTATCTCTGTTACACTATATTTATGCTAAAAACTTTGTATTAGTAAGGTAGTCCAGTGTGGCTAAAATGCAATGGATCTACTACAGCTAATCTCTCCCACAGATGAAAAAAAAAAGAAAGAAAGAAAAATCTGGTCAAAATACAAAGACAGTTAGAAAATCAAGTGACTTGTATCATGTAGATTCTCAAAAAAATTTTCCCCTATGATCTTTCTTCCCACTGATTAGAGAGCAAGCACTCAGCAGGGATATAGCAGGTTATACAGGCAACAAAGGGAAGGGAAGGAGGGAGAGAACGAAGGGGAAAAGATTGGATCTGGAGATTTTGTGTGAAATCTCTGTTTTTCCCTTCCTTCCTTCCATTTTACTAATTACATCATGTAGAAATGGTCTAAACACATTGGTTTATGATAGAGATAGTGAGATCAGATAAAAGAGCAAGATCCAACTCTATGTTGTGTACAAAAACCTACTTTAAATATAAATACATAGATAAGTTAAAAAAAAAATATTTGTCATGCAAACAGTATTTAGAAGAAACTGAAGTGGTTATATTAATATAAAGTAGTATAAGGAACATTGTCAAAAATAAAGATGGATGTTATATAATGATAAAAGAATCCATTTTTCAATAAGACATAAGGATACTACATGGAGATGAACATAACTGCAGAGCTCCAAATTACAGGAAGGAAAACTGATGGAATTAAAAAGAAGTACAGCTAAATCCACAGATATATTTAGAGAATTCAAGATCCAATAGAATAAGTAGAGAAAAAATTAATGATCAAAAGTTACAGGATGTGCTCGGCTGGGTGTGGCTCAGTGGTTGAGCATCAACCTAGGGTCCAGGAGATGGAGGTTCAATTCCTGGTCAGGGCACATGCCTGGGTTGGGGGCTTGATCCCGTCAGGGGCGTGCAGGAGGCAGCCGATCAATGACTCATGGCTGATGTTTCTATATATCTCTCTTTCCTTCTCCCTTCCTCCCTCTGGAATCAATAAAGATATATTTTTTTTAAAAAATTTGTAGGATGCAACTGAAAAATGAATTAGACTAAAATTTATAGCATTAAACACCACTAGAATAAGCTATATGATAATGTGTTCATTATTTGCTTTAACTTACCATTCTTTCTAAAAATCAGTTATAAACTCCACTAAAGGAAGTAGTCTGTCTTCTTCTGTTTATCACATCTTTTATGACCAGGTAAATGCCTGCTACATAACGGATGCTCACTAAATATTCATTTAGTGAAAAGATGATTGCAAAAATCAGTGCCATCATTTTGTTGTACTTCTTTCAGGAACAACGAACGGTTCTGGTTCTTTGGAATTTCCACAAGTTTGAATGATACCTAATGTTTACACCAGCAGTGTGAATAACTCACATTACAATCAATATTCATTTCAAGGAAGTTCCTAAAATTCACTCGTTTTATCAGTTGTGAGGTGAAAATGATATGGCTTACCACAGATTTTTTTCTTTTGTCCACTTATCATCAGCTTCTCCTTACAGTTATAGTCAGAGTACAAATTAATCAAACCTTGATTGTCATCTGAATTATCTACTTTTAAATTCCTCCAGTTAAACACACACACACACACACACACACACATACACACACACACAACAGCTACTGTCAGAAGGATGCTCTTATTTGATTAATCTTATAAGATAAACTAATAAGCAAGTTTTGAAAGGAAATTGAACAAATACATATTAAGGAAGGAATGGTATTGAAATAATCTTACCTTTATTAAATATGCTAGAAACAGGGTTAAACGCTTTGCAATTGTTAACTTATAACATAGGTATTATTATTTTTTCTCTCTTACAGATGTTCAGACAGGTTGAATCGGATATAACTTTAACTTACAGAGGAAGTAAGTGGAAGAATTGAGATTCTAATTCCGGGTGTTATTGATCTTAGATTCCAAGAACTTTACATCAGATAATTATCCGAGGAGGGGAATAAGTAGAAAAGTAGGGCCCAGGAATCTCAGTTGATTTTAGTCATGAATAGTTGCAGGACACACTCTCGGATCTGTTTTGTCCTTACTCCATAGATAATAGGGTTCAGCATCGGGGGCACCAACAAATACATGTTGGCCAGCAGGACGTGGGTGTGGCGTGGTATATGCTGGCTGAAACGATGGGTGAGGAAGGAGAAAAGGGCAGGAACGTAGAAAGTGAGGATGACACAAACATGGGACCCACAAGTGCTGAGCGTCTTCAACCTGGCATCTTTAGAAGGGAGATTGAATACAGTACGGAGTATCTGTACATAGGACAGAGAGATGCATGCCACATCGGTCCCAACAATCAAGACAATGACAGCCAAACTATAAAGACTATTGATGGAAATGTCAGCACAAGCCAATTTCACCACAGCCATATGCTCACAGTACGTATGGGGGACAATATTGGTGCGGCAATATGGCCACCTCCTTACCAGAAAGGGGTGCGGTGTCATTAGAACTAACCCACGCAGAAGTGCCACTATGCCAACCTGAGCCACCACAGAGTTTGTTAGAATGGATGAGTGTCTTAGAGGATTGCAGATCGCCACATACCGGTCAAGGGCCATGGCCACAAGAAGCCCAGACTCCACCCCAGAGAAAGCATGGATGAAAAACATCTGAGTGAGGCAGGCATGGAAGTTGATTTCACGGTAATTGAACCAGAATACACCCAACATCTTGGGAAGAGTGGAGGTAGACAAGATGAGGTCTGTGATGGCCAACATGGAAAGAAAATAAAACATGGGTTCGTGGAGAGCAGTCTCAGTTTTGATGATAAAAAGGATGACTATGTTTCCCATGAGGGCAACAACATACATTGAGCAGAAAGGGATAGATATCCAAACATGCATGTCTTCTAGACCAGGTATGCCCATCAGGATGAAGGTACTGGGATTGGTGAAGGCAGTGGAGTTGAATTCAAGCATAATTATTCTGGCTAAACGACGACATACGCTTGCTCTCTTTCCCTCCTTTGTCCCTGGAGTAGTCAAAGACACATATATTCTGATAAATATACAATATAGACTTAACTCATTGTAAAAACAAAACCTAGCAAGTTTATTCCAATTTTAATTGTCCCTTCATAAGTTTCTCTGAAATTATAAGTGTTTCATCCCTCATTGCCAGGTATTAATCTTATTAAGAACTAACTTGGAGTAGAGAGAATATCTTATCTAACTGCTTACTACTCTGCCCTCAGCTCAGAACCTCCAGAGTATTCAGCCTGATGCTAGGTGTTCTCTTTTTGTCTGTGAAAGCCAAGCTGAATGAATGCCCTGAAAAATAACACAGGTTCCTCATATCTCAATAAGGCAATGGGGAAAAAACCTCTAACATCACCCTCATAGAAAGGTACCCCTCCAAAACAATTATGGACTCTCAGACTGTTTGCATGAGGTCTATTGTAAATCAATGATTTTCAACTGGTGTGCCAAAATTTTTTGAAAACATGTAACACCTGACTGTTTAGTCAGGGGCACTGACTTACTTTCCCTTAGATCATCAAGCAAAGAAATGACAACAGCCAGCACAACAATAGCCATCCGTGTGAATGAATCAAAATTTACCTATTTTTTTGATCAGATCAGCAAAAGGTACAATATATTTTTTGGTGTACCACAGAATTTTTATAATTAGCTTATGTGTGCCATGGGATGAAAAAAGTTGAAAGCAATGTTCTAAATAGACATTTGTGAAAACACCATATGAAGGCATAATAAGCTTTTTATATTTACAGTGCTTTTAATAACAAAAGTTTTTGAAATGTGCCTCCCTAGTGAATTTTTGGCCATAAAACAAATAGCATCTAATCACCTAAATAGCTCTAAGACAGCAGCAAAGCCATTGATACCTGAAAGGTATTCTGCCTGAATTTTCCAGTATCCCTAGAAAAATGTGACTTGAAAAGATGTCCATGTTTTCACAGTTATATGTATATATATGTATATCTATATATGATCTAACGGTTACTCCTCTGGGGATACATACATGCATACACACACACACATATNAAACACCATATGAAGGCATAATAAGCTTTTTATATTTACAGTGCTTTTAATAACAAAAGTTTTTGAAATGTGCCTCCCTAGTGAATTTTTGGCCATAAAACAAATAGCATCTAATCACCTAAATAGCTCTAAGACAGCAGCAAAGCCATTGATACCTGAAAGGTATTCTGCCTGAATTTTCCAGTATCCCTAGAAAAATGTGACTTGAAAAGATGTCCATGTTTTCACAGTTATATGTATATATATGTATATCTATATATGATCTAACGGTTACTCCTCTGGGGATACATACATGCATACACACACATATATATATATACATATATACACACATATATATAAATTCTGGATGAGTGTTTCAGAAGATTATAGATTTTATATATATAAAAAATTTATATCTGTATATCTGTATTTATATAGATATAGCTATATATTCTGAAAAATATATATATCCTCAAAAGAGTAATCATTAAATATTTCTTTTTACCAATTTTATTGAGATGCTAACTAGGGTACGAGAGCTTCTTACCATACCTAAGAATTTAGAATACACTCTACACTTTGGGAAATAAATACTGGTGAGCTTTAAATCAATCAAATAATCATCAAAATTTGAAATAGTAACAGTGCTACTTTTATGTCATAATATATTCCGCAAAAAAATGTTAAGAGTCATTAGCAAGTGCCCAATTGTTAATTAGTATAAAATATTATGATGTCACCATTGTAAATTTATAAAAGAAGCTTACACTTTAAGTAAGCAAATTACTTTTCCAAAGTCACACAATCAGCATGTGCCAGAAGGAGATAACACAGCCTGGTTTACTCTAAATCTTCACTATTGTTCCTCTACATTTGTAATCAAAATAAAGCAAAAACTGATGTTAATGTTTTTCCCAGGTCTTATCATGAATGATTATTATTTATTGCTTTATAAATGTGGTTTTATGGATTAAGATGGTTTATAGCAACTACATAAAATAATCCTAAATTTTTTTCTATTCCAACATCTCAGTTGATTTCATTGTGATGTTCATTGTGAAAATAGTGGTAAGTACTTTATTTCTAAATGAATTATTCTTAACCCCAGAAGACATACCTGCATATACTTCCTTTTCCAAAGTTGACACCAGTTTACTGGTGGACCAAACATTTTAAAGGATGGTTAAGGAAAACCTCAAGAGCATCCTAATCTAACCTGACAAGTGGCTTGTTCCATGCGGCAGGACTACACTGATTTACCTGTCAACATGAGGCAGTCTGGAGAAGACTCTAATTTACCTTCAGAGGGACCACACTGTCAGCCTCTGCTGCATGTTCTCAGTCTATTTGCAGCACAACTGAGTCTCAAGAATCCACGTTAGCTCTGAAGGTTTGTTCCTCATCTCTAGGCAGCTCTTCCTCATACCAGTATTCTGTAGTGCCCTCATCATTGCCTCTCACTTCTTTGGCTTAGGGAAATGTACGTGAGCTGTTCATTCCTCCGGATTAGTCGTGCTGTGCTGAATCAAAGCCAGGGAGTCAGAGTTCCAGTCTTTCCCTGCATGGCAGGTTCAGGCAGGTTTTATGCCCTGTTGGGGGGGCAGCCTGAAGCGCATGTTTCTTCACCTTCTGAGAAGTTCAATACCCAAGGGAGAACACATTTTCTCTATCACATGACGTCAGTTAGTAATGCAATTTGATGTGGGTGAGACTAAAGGAGATTTTAAAAGACACAATTTATTTACACAAGTGGCTCTGATCCCACTAGTTCAGTTAGAACTAGTTCAGTTGAAAGGAAGGATGTAGTCATATCGGTGACTTACTTAAGAAGGCAACACAGAAAGAAAGTAGAAAACTAGATTCCTGTGATACTGTCAGGCTTAACATGCATCGTCCTTTCTGTGTACAAAATATTCACGTGTATGTATAGATATTTGCAGCTATATGTAGTTCTATACATATACACATATGTACACACATCTGTTTACACATAGATATGTACATAAACATACATACACATAAAACTATTGCACTTATAAGAAGCATGGTGATATATATTACAAACAAAATAGAAATACACACACCTATATGTATTTGTGTATGTGTATAATTATAATAATTTGATGTTTTAATAAATACATATTAAATGCTTACTATGTACCTGAGTCTACTTGTTAAGAGCATATTATGTACCTGAGTCTATGTTAAATGCTTTGGAAAACAGTCCCCAATTTGTTTACTTTTATGATCCAATTTAGTTAAGGTTCTTAGGGGAACTAATGATACTGGTCCACCAAATGAGATAGTTCTTTTATACCATAACCCTTGATTTCAATAGTTTCTGGGTTTTCCTCTCCCCCATATCACCTACCTTCTTGGTGACCAGAAGTCTTAGAGGTACTTTCAGTTGTTCATGCATAATCTTTCCCTTTGGTGGCTTTGAAGCCAGTGGCCTAAGCTCAGAGAAACCCAAATCAATTTTAGTTTAGCATCAAGGCCCAACCCAGCACTTTCTTTTACTTCACAAAAATTAGGTCAAAATGTGTCATAGACTTAAATGTAAAATTCAAAACTAAAAAACAAAAAAATAACATAAGAGGAAATGTAGATGACCTTGGGACTGGAAATGATTGTTTATTGACTGATTGATTTTAAAAAGAGAGAGGAAGGGAGAGGGGTGGGGGGAGAAACATCCATTTGTTGTTCCACTTATTTTATGCATTCATTGGTTGTTTCTTCTATGTGCCCTGACTGGGGATTGAAAGCACACACACACACACACACACGTACACACACACTGAGTGACTTATACATCTTGAACTTGATTCTAGGTGCTGGGCAAACATGAATTAAGAAATGTCCCTATACTGCAGGTGACATGTCTCTCACAAAATAGTGTATAATCATTAGGACCTATTTTTTCATATATTAACTATACTTTTTAAAAATAAATATGACCCAGTCTTCACCTGGAAAGTTTCTATCTTCTTAGGTAATATAGATTTACTTGAACTACAAGTAGTTCCATTGGTATCACCTGTCTTGCTGGTTAATTAAGAAAAAAATCTTACAAACTCAAACCTATGTATTTGTGAAGACTTTAAGAAAACTCTCCCTGATATTTTTGGTTTTAACACCATAGATGATAGGGTTCATCATAGGCGGAATCAGAAGATAAATGTTGGCTATAAAGATGTGGATGTATAGAGCTATGTTGTGACCAAATCTGTGGGTGATAAAGGAGAAAAAGGAAGGTGTATAAAACACTAAGATGACCCAAAAATGGGAGCCATATGTGCTCAAGGTCTTGAGCCTGGCCTCCTTTGATAGGAGAGGAAACACAGCATGAAGAATGAGAACATAAGAGCATATTATCAACATGAAGTCCAGCCCACCAGTAAGCAAGGCAAGAAGTAAGCCATATAGTCTATGGATTCTGGTATTACTACAGGCCAGTTTGATCAGCGCCATGAACTCCCAGTAGATGTGGGCAATGACATTGGTTTTGCAGCAGGGAAGCCTCATCAGTAAGAAAGGGTGAGGAGTCAGCAAGATAATTCCACGTAGGACAATGGCCAGACTCAAAGCCATGACCACTCCATGTGTCAGGATGGTGGAGTGCCTCAGAGGTTTGCAGATGGCCACATATCGGTCAAAGGCCATGGCCAACAGGAATACTGACTCCGTGGTGGACAGACAGTGGAGGAAAAATATCTGGGTGAGGCAAGCTTTAAAGTTGATTTCTCTGTCATTGAACCAGAAGAGGCTGAGAATCTTGGGAATGGCTGTGGCGCAAAGCATCAGGTCATTCACAGAGAGCATGCAGAGGAAGAGATATGTGGGCTCATGAAGACCGGGGTGTGTCTTGATGATGAATACAAGGCATAGCGAGCAGATAGACCAGGCAAAAAGGGATGGAGATCCAGACATGAGCAGCCTCCAGCCCTGGGATTCCAAAGAGTGGGAAAGTAGTTGGGTGGACATTGGTTCTATTTCGAACTAACATTTTCAGAGTCACTAAACCTGCTCTAGCCTAAGTGTTATCAAATTATTTTCAGTAGATCCAGCATAAAATATGCTCTCTGTTTATACCTAAAATATGTATTACATATCTCATGACAATCAGTGGTAGGAAATTTTGCACTGATTCCAGGATGTGGTGAAGAGATGTAGAGTTAGCCAGTAATATTTGTTTTAACCTCAAAATTCAAAAGGTGAAAGAGAGAGTAGACTCTGCTATAGGAAAAAAAGAATAGGCCCTAAAGAAAGGATGTTTTGTTCCATGTCTCATTTATGCTGTGCTACATAAATACTGCCTAATAAGTGCTGGAAATATAGCATGCACTTATTTAAGTGGCTTATAATTTTATTAAACATATAAATGAATAAGAACAAAAGAGGCTGATTTTCAAGTGAGAATTATAAACTTATTTTCCTGATTATGTCTCTAAAACGTGTTTTCACTTATGAGGCCCATTTATCTCTCTTATTTGGAAAATTGTTTATATATAAACCCATTATAATAAAAAGCAAATTGCTATTTTAGATTAAAAACACTTATTAAGCCTAATATCAGTCAATTTATGTGAATATGATCATACTGATCAGCCAAGACAAATTTGAATATTTTGGACCATTTAAACAGAGCATGATTTTTGGTTTTACTTGAGCTATATGTTACTATCACTTTATAAAGTGCAAACTAAGCATCCAGCCGTGTCTCCCAGACACATCTCCAGAGAGGGAAAAGAAGTCAGTGGCCCTGACTAAATAGTCATGTATTGCATGTTTTAAAAATTCTTGCAGCACACAGGTTGAAAATCGCTGGTTTAAAGCAATGCTAATAAAATAATATCCATGCAATACCTGCCTCAGAATCACCTAATTGATCATGTTTCCCCAGATATTTCCTAAAGTTTCGTATTTTTAGATATTGCCTGATATATCAGTTTATCTGATGTTATTTTCTTATCTTTAAAAGGAGGAAAATGATATCTACTTTTCAGGAGTACTGTGATAGTAAAATTAATAATACAGAGAATAAATTTTCCCATATACTGTATGGCAAATAAAAAGTAATTTTATATATTTTATTTTTATTGTTATTTTAATATTACCTTTCAATTGTAGGTTTACGATTTCTATTTCAAAATAGACATGATGGATGAAAAAACAATGTCAAGCCATATAATTAAATCCTCTGTAATTCTTTAATTGGTAGCCTTCAGAAGAATGCAAAATTAACACTGACAATCACTGATGACCAACAAGGGAGATGGTGTACTAGACATGAGTCAAACAGAAAGTACAAGGAATTATTTGCCCCCTTTTCTATCACATATTTTAACATTAATCTTTTCTGAAAAATCTCCAGTTATAGACTTCCCTGGACTTTTTACAGTATCCATTATTTTGCATGTAATGTTTGCATTAACCCACCCAGATATCTTCACTAATGCTCACAGGTTACATGATTTGCCCAAATCAATCAAAGAGGAGTTGAAGATGTCTCAAAAGAAAACATTTGGAGTTGAGGGATTTAATGTAACTTGAATGGCAGGAAAAAAATCTACAATACTACATAATATTTTATCACAGAAACTGAGCTTCCTTTCTCAAAACAAAAGTTTCTGCTTCCTTTTTCTCAGTTAGTATAACTTAAAGGATCTTATCTGATGTGTAAAGTTTAAGTAAAGCATAGTCTCATTAATGTCAGGGGTTTATACCATAGAAAGTCAAATTATAAGACAAATGCTTTAAATATCAGGAATTCCATATCCTATTACTTCTTTTTAAAATATTTAAATAGATAGATAGATTAGATATAATGATATGTAGATAGATATGTGAACATATATTTATACACCCCTGAGATCATTAAAATGACATTTAATCTAGAAACCCTACCTACTAGGAAATGATTATAGTGCTTTTTTTGGAAATCAAGGCTGGAAGACTAAATTCTGTAGTCTGGCTCATTTTTACAATGCATAGATTAAGGAAAGATGTAAAGACAACATCTATGGAAACATGGCAAAGGTAGCACAAGAAACCAAATTAATTATAACAAATACTGAAAATTTATTTTTAAAAAATCAATATAAAGTAAGAAACCAAAAACTGAGGGCCCCTATTGCTTTGGCATGGAGTAAGAAGGGAGAGAATCAGGGCCAGTTCTGATGCTGATGCTGATGTGTTTCTATTTGTCCCATGTGCATGTATGTAAACAATGTTCATAGTATAATAATAGGTCAGTGATGGTCATTATCATAAGAAGTAGTATTCTAGTTGTCATATTTTAGATTAAAAATAATTTTTGAATTTTAAAGACTGAAGAAAAATTGAATCTGTATAAATGTTTAAAGTCAATAGAAACAGTAAATAATTTGACATAAATACCTTTCCAGTGACATTCAAATTTTTAAATTTAAAATTTTTATTTTAAATTACAGTTGACATTCAATATCATATTAGTTTCAGGTATACAGCATAGTGGTTAGACATTTATATAACTTAAAAAGTGGTCCAGTCAATAAGTCTAGTACCCACCTAGCACCACCCATAGTTATTACAATATTATTGACTATTTTCCCTATGCTGTAGTTTACATCACTATGACTATTTTGTAATGCCAGTTTTGTACTTAATCCCTTCACCTTTGAAATAAGTGGAAGGTTAACTACAGAGAGCTCACTGTGTTGAGTGTCATGATAGACTTAGTCTGACCACACAGAAGAGCAGAGAGACGCCCATCACTGATGGCTGGTGTTAAGCCTGCTCTCATCTTTTCTTCCTACCTAGGGAATAAATTGAGATTTGCATGTGATACTTCAAAGTATATAATGGGACATTCTGTAATTTTATTTGAGAGTTAATTTCTTTTCTTTTTTTGTTTTAAAATTGAAACCTGCCCTTTTAACACCTACTTAAAGATACACTGGCTTCCTTTTGGAGCCATTCAGAAAAAGGTATATTTACTTCCTATCACAGTCCTTTAAATATTTGAAGACATCTATAAATGTCTTTCAGCCATGCTGTTGTTGTCTTCTTTTTAAAGAGATGATATCTATATCCCTAATCATCTAACTTTCCTGGATATTTTCCAATTTGTTCATGTTCTTAAAATAGGGTGCTGGAGCCAAATATACTGGCTCACAGACACAAGGAACCAATTTAGATTCCTGTGATCTTCACTTGAGATGTGTTGCTTTACAAAAAATCATAAAGACTTTCTCCAAAGTTTATTATCAGGTTGGAATTCCTTGTGATGTACCTATAGGTAAATATTTCCAATAGTCTTATCCTAGAACATAGTTGCTGAATGATGTCACCTTAACAATGAGAACTAGGTATAAAATTGATAAATATTAACTGCTTTATGAGGGCAATTCCATAAAGCCACAATGTTATCAATAGGAAACACAGTTTATAATAATAGAGAAAAACATGATCACTTACACTTGAGAGCTAATGTTTAATTGCATCTTGAATTTCATGGCCCATAATGGGAGAAAATGAAATAAGAACAAGAATTTGTCAATATACTGCAGCTAGAAATAAGCATTGTTGTATGCCTAGAAGATTCATGGTGTAATTATTTGTACAGCATATTAGACTTACACTAAAAGGGATCTTACACTTCACACATACACAGAATAGTCAGATTTCTTAAGGTAACATTCCTGAGTCTAATCAGAAATCAGGAATTAAGGTCAAAGCTATTTCTAGAACTATTTTTCTTAATCCTGGAAGCTATCCAATGTAGTCTTAATACAAATATAAAGACACAGAAAAAGACAAATGTCTAGTGACCCAGAGAACATGACATTTCAACTTCTTATGGGTTTACTTATTCATTTCTATGTCTTCTGTCTTATATACTTGCTACTGCTCACCGGAGTCAATATACTCACCAAGCTTTACCATTCAATATGAATCCAACACTTATGAAGTTTTCCAATTCAAGGTAATGGTGATTCATTTTCAACATTTCCTCTTTAATAAAACTATCATCTTTGTTGATGATTTGGGGAATCACAAACCTTGCAAAGTCAGACACATTTGATTGCTAACAATTTAAAGAATCCCTCCCTGATTCTTTTGGTTTTAACACCATAAATAATAGGATTCATCATGGGTGGAATGAGAAGGTATATATTGGCTATAAAAATGTGGATGTGTGGAGCAATGTGGTGACCAAATCTATGAGTGAGAAAAGAGAAAAAGGCTGGTGTATAAAACACCAAGATGACCCATACGTGGGAGACACAAGTACTTAAGGTCTTGAGACCGGCAGCCTTGGATGGAAGAGTGAAGACAGTGAAAAGAATGAGGGCATAGGAACAGATGATCAACAGGAAATCCAATCCCCCTGTCAGGAATGCCACAATTAGGCTGTAGGTCCTACGAATCTTGGTTTCAGTGCAGACCAGCTTTATCAAGGCCATAAACTCACAGTAAGTATGAGAGATGACATTAGTTTTGCAGTAGGAAAGCCACCTCAGTAGGAAAGGGTGTGGACTGAGGAGTACAGCTCCTCTGAAGACAATGATCATACCCAAGCCTACAACTACTGTAGGTGTTAAGACAATGGAATGCCTTAGTGGGTGGCAGATGGCTACATAGCGGTCAAAAGCCATGGCTAAGATAAATCCAGATTCCATAGTAGACAGAGAATGGATAAGATACATTTGAGTGAGGCAGGCTTCGAAGTAGATTTCTCCATCATTGAACCAGAAGAGACTGAGTATCTTGGGAAGTGTAGAGGAAGTAAGCATCAAGTCAGCCACTGAGAGCATGCACAGAAAGAGGTACATAGGCTCATGCAGTTTGTGGTCTGTCTTGACAATTAATAGAAGGGCAACATTTCCCATCAGTGACAGTATGTAGACCAGGAAGAAAGGGATGGAGATCCATATGTGGGCGGCCTCCAATCCTGGAATGCCGAGCAGTAAGAAGGTGGTTGGTTGAAGACAGGTCTTGTTATAACCTGCCATTATTTAACAATGGATGTCCCACGATCCTGTCCAAATTAAACATCACAAAGGATTTAAATATAAAAAACCCCAAAGTTTGTTATTATTATTATTATTATTATTATTAATTATTGCCAGGGAGAGATGTTAACATCAATAACATGCAACTGGATATTGAATGATTTCTTAGGGACTAAATTGTCTCAATGCATCAAATACATGGGGCTGTGCTTTTTGGGTAAGGAAAATTGTAGAAAGGAATTCTCTCTCTCTCTCTCTCTCTCTCTCTCTCTCTCTCCTTCACCTTGTCTTTTTTCATAAAGTATTATTCAGCTGGCTAAATACATTTTAGCAATATTATGTAGTATTATAGAGGTAGAATTGATATATTCTTGAATACTAAGATATAATTTTCTACCATCTGAAACAGTAAAAAAAAGCCCAATCATCATGAATGAGATCAGCCATTTGTATATTTAACCCCTCCTACACCCCTCCCAAAGATTGAGTTTATAGTTATAAGGAGAAAGGAGACATGGGAAATACTAAAGAAAAATTGGGTCAATAAAGAAGTGAGAATAAAACTGGTCTTATATTGAAAGGTGAATCATTGAGTTAATAAAGGAAGGAGCCTTATCTTCATAAAATATGCCAAACAGAATGGTAAGAAATAATCATTTTGCAAAATAAGTCCAAAGCAGAAAACTACTAAGTATAGAAATCACAGGTGTTCAGGTTACTAGATATCTGTCTTCTTTTTAAAATGATCAATTAAATTCTTCCAGAAGATACATAATATATTCTTTATTCATACAATACACTTGATGCTGATTTTTGCTTCTCAAGTAAACTTAAATGCAACTTGTGGCTCAAGATATCAGCTTATCAGAAGTGTGTCTTGGAATGTCTGAAATGTTTTGGAAAGGTATCCTAACAATTCTAAATTTTAAATTGATAAATTATTTTGCTTCAAATATTTGTATATAATAAGCTTATATAATATGTGGCATCCTTTTAGTCTGAATAAAACAAAGTTTAATAAAAATAAATAAGGTTTTGCGCAAATGCAGTTCAAGACTAAATTCTAAGGCTAAGTTAACAAAAATTATGAACAACATGAACATCTCAGCTTAAATAAATTAATTTTCTGCCTTATTTTTGGCAAGTCAAGAAGTTGTGTCATCTTTTGGCCAACCAAAAAGGCTAAGCCTTCATTGCTGTGACTGGACCTAGGACCTCCAGCCTAGGCTCCATCATTCCCTTCTCACAGAAGCGCTGAATTTTCCCTTCCCACCTTAGCCACAACTCTCCTGTCTATAATGTGGTTATCTTACCTCCAAAACTAGATGGTCTCACTGCTCTGCCTGAGGCTGAACATAACATTGGATATAATTACAACAGGTGCCATTATACGTCTTATCCCCGGGGACCAGAGGCCTGCAAGGAGTATCTTAAAGATAGCCTCTTAGGAGAATGCTGTTTGATTGTAGACAGTTTCACTAATCTCTCCGTCTCTAAAGGCACAACTTGGTCTCTTGGAGGGACTCAGTCTTATGGTGTTCATGCCACCTGAGTTCTGAGCTTAGAAATCAATAGGAGATAGTCTCTGGACTCCAGATCTTATGAGATAATTGATTTATTGTACTTTTGGGTTTAAGTGCTAAATGTTTTCTTACAACAAGTGTAATGAAAGATAGAGGGAGTGAAGGATATATTGGAGCAACCAGTATATGAATAATCAGGGTGATTATATCAACATCTTCACATGCCTCTAGATATTCTTAAGTAAGTCACCAGAACCAGTTTTAGTTCTGAAAATCAACTAAAGCTCCAGGACATTTTAGAGTCATGTTCCAATTCCTGCATTCCCCTGAAATTTATTTGTTTGATTAAGTACAGGGTATGCCCATGTTTACAAGATATTCTCATGGATGAAAGCATTATTTTTGTGTTTTAGTTGGGATGCTATGCAATGATTGAATGTATTTTGCTACAGGTATGTTCCTTCTCATCCTTTTCTTCTGCTCTGTAGTTTAGGAAAAGTGAACATTACAGGCTGTTTCCCAGGATTACAGATCATCTGTCTTTAGGCAAGTTTTGTTCAATGGAGATGTTAGGACAATTCTATTTCATGATTTCTTCAACTGCATCTATTCCATGGCTCCAGATTCTGCCAGAGTGTACTCCCATGGTTTCAGCTTCTAGTGGGAGACTCATATTTCTGAGATATGATTTAACTAGTGGTGCCTTTATGTTTTGCTGGCTAGAGTTGGAGTGGAATTTTGTGGTTTCTAACTTCTTACTGTCAAATATTGGTCTTCTCAGAAGTTCAATAATTTGTGTAAATAATTAGCTATAATAAATATGCTCTGTAATAAATACATAAGTACCATTTCCTGCTTCTATTCTGACTAATACAGATGTCATTCAAAATAATATAGGGGTAGTGATTTCAGAAACTTGTTGAGTTGAAGAAATGATAGAACATTGTCCTCCTATTTATTTCTTTTAAAATATTAGAAAGGAAATAATCAAAAGATACCAGCAACATCAACAAAAAAATGTTATATATGAAAAACCACAACTGCCTTGTGCTAAACGATGGAATACTGGAAATTCTTCCTCTATGGTCAGGAACAAAACAAGAATGCCCACTTTTACTATTTGTATTCAACATAATACTAAAAATCTTAGCCAGAGAAATTAAACAAGAAAGCAAAATAGAAGGGATCCAAATTGGAAGAGAAAAAAAGTAAAATGATCTCTATTTGTAACTTATAAAAATAAAACTATATAGATTTCTCTCTCT